TTTTCAGTTACATTTATATAATATTGTTAATTTTGTTTTATACTTTAACCTCACTTTCTCTCCTTTTCATCTTCCTTTTATTTTTCAAATTTCACTTCTTTTATTTTTCCCTTTTCCACTTCATTTTTATTAGTAGTACTATCAAACCATATTAATTTTTGGATATTTAGTTGTCTGCTATTATCATTGGATTCCTTTCTATTATTAATGTTCCACTTAGTAGATTTACTATTAATATTTGATTTGTGTTTGTGTCTATATTATTACTGATCTCTTTTCTGAGATCAATAAAGGTGGTAGGTTACAGTGATAGTTTGTTAGTTTCTATGGCGTGTAGGCTGCAGCTGGAAGGCAGGCCCAGGTGGTGCTTGTATCCACAAGCCTGCTCACTCACAAGCATGAAATTAAGAAAATCATAGGAAGGCCGGTGCGGGGATCTCTAACTGAACTCAGTCTGGAATAAAAATGGGACCATGAAGTTAGTTTGATTTTGTGTTCTTAGAGCTGTATGGGGCTTTTGTTCAGTTGTTCCTTTTTCTTTCATTTTTCCCATTTTTCATTCTTCTCTCTTTTTCTCTTTCTTATGTCTTAATCTTCTTTCTTTTTGGGGGGTACCAGGGATTGAACTCGGGTCCTTGTGCTTGTGAGGCAGGCGGCAGAACCACTGAGCTAGATCTGTGGCCCTTTATCTTCTTTCTTTTCTTTTCCTCCTTTCATCTGGGTTATATATAAGGGGTGTCTGTGTATGTGGAAATGAGAATAAGAATTACCTAGTGCTTTAATTTGAATTTAATTTAAAGAATTAACCAATACTTTCGTTGACAATTCAGAGTAACCCTCAGCAAAATTGTGCATGGAGGATTCAAACATAAGCTAACTACCAATATATTAAGAAGTTCTGACACTCTCACGACGTACCCCAATCTCCTTCTACACTTCTTTCCCTCTTAAATTATTCTTCTGCTCCCACACAGTTCTCTCAAATCCCATCAGCACCAGCCCTTTACTCCAGCTATAAAAATATTCCAACAGAGTCAGATCTTCTGTCTATTTTTCTTCTATTATAGCTCATCTCTCTTCTTCCTTTGGCCTTACCCCTTTCCTTTAGATTTCCCTTTTTCTTTGTCATTCTGTACCCAAGTCTACCTGTTAGCAGCAGTATAGTACAGTTTGATAAAAGGGTTAAAATGTTCAATCAAGTTTTAATGTACTTAATGATGTATGGTTGGATCCGTTAACATTGATAAAACCTTGGGGATACTCTCCTTGCAACATGGTGACTGGGTCCAATCCTATATTAAATTGAGTAGATTGAAGAGGTAGATAAAGACCAAAATTCAAACAAAGCCAAGATTGTATCACCGGAGAGCAGACATTAACCATTTTGGCTTGTATCTAGATGTCCCCCCAAAGCCTCATGTGCTCATAAGTGGGGCTTTTGGGGGGGGGGTGGATGGATTGTGGGTGTATAATATTGTGTGATAACTAAGTTGATTTAGCATAGTTCTGGGTGTGGATAATGAGCAGCCCCACCCTGGGTGGTGTAGAATGGATAGAATATAAGGACAGGCTTTGCCTCTGCTGCTGCTGGCTGCTTGCTACCTCCACATGCTGTGCCATGAACTGTTTCTCCTCTGCTCTGTCCCTCTGCCATGCCACCTTCCCTTGGAACCAGCTGACTATGGACTGAAATCTCTACAAACTGTGAGCTGAAATAAACCTTTCTTCCCTTAACTTTGGGTGTCAGATATTTTGCCTCAATGAGAAAACAGAAAAGTAACTAAGACAGTAACTAAAGAAATCTCCATAATAGCAACAAAGTCTTTTCTCTCTAATTGACCCTTAGGCCTCAGCACATACACAGAAACAATAGACATAAGGAAACAAGCCAACAAAATGCCTCCAGAAACTCTTAATTCCCCCAAAGCTGATCAATGAGGATGAAATAATAATAAAAAACCTCAAAGAGCTGAATTATATGAACTGATAAAAGAAAAATAAAACAAAATCCAAAAACAGATCAGTAAGGTGTTTGGTGAGCTCAAAGATGATATAACAAATAGATAACAGACTTAATAAACAAAATGATCAGTGAGCTTAAAAAAGGTACAAATAAAAATCTAGTTGAGCTAAACAAAACTGTAAAACATTAACTACCAGTTTAGCAAAGAATTGGAGTCCACAAAAAGAAACCAAATAAATCTAGGAGGTGAAAATTCTATTGAAAGTATGGGTAGCAGAGGTGATGAATGTGGAAGAGTGTCAGAGGAAAGAGTGATAGAACTAAAAGATAGGCTGATGCATGTGACTACATACTCAGAGATACCTTAAAAACAAAATATCATAAAGATGGGTCCAACAGCTTCTAGTTGGTGCAAAGAAGACTAATCTAAGATTAATCCGTAGTGAAAAATCAGATCATCGAACAAATGGAATAAAATATCTGTTTATAGATATTAAAGCAGAAAGCATTCCAAAGATGGGAAAAATCAGCATATGGATAAGAGAAGCATATGGAAACTCAAAAAGCCATGAGCAGAAAGAACTACGCAGGGTTGGGGATTTAGCTCAGTGGTTTTGCCACCTGCCTCGCAAATGCAAGGACCCAAGTGCTGCCCCCCAAAAAAGAAAGAACTCCACATATCATAGTCAAAATCTCATATGTCCAACACAAGGGCAAAAGTTTAAAAGCTCCTAGAGAAAAGCAACAAATCACTTATAAAGATAAACTTATTAGAATTACAGCAGACTTCTCAACACAAACCTTAAAGGCTAAACCTTAAAGGCTAAAAGAGCTTGTAATGAAGTGTCTCAAACCCTTGTAATGAAGTGTCTCAAACCCTAAAAGAAAACAACTTTTAAGTGAAACTAATATATTCTGAAAAATTATCTTGCAAAACTGATGGAGAAATAAGGTCTTTCCATGACAAGGAGCACCTTAAAAATTCTTGACTACACAACCAATGCTTCAAAAATTTCTCAAGAATATTTTACACAGAGGCAATGAAGCCAATAATACCAAAAAACTAGTGGAATGGACACATCAGGTGGGGTGAGCTTTTAAAAGGAGGTAAAGCAACAAGGAATTGGCAACAGAAAAATACAATGACAGGAATAAGTCAATACCTTACATTAATAACTCTCAGTGTGATGGAGGAACAAGAGTCACCCGGGAAGGAACACACCAGGCTAGATGGTAAACAGACCTTTATTAGTCTGGCCAGACGGCACTCTCAGAACCAAGTAGCTGGCTCAGAGAGGCGCCAGCTCAGGGCCTGGGGTCTTTTCTACAGGGGGGTAAAAAGGGGGGTTAACATTTTAAGCTTGCAGGCAGGGGACAAATGTATGCTGACTTGAGCTGGTGATCAGCAGTCACGTACTCGGCAGTCACACATTGATGATTAACAGATATCTATAGGATGGTTCAAAGGCCACCAAGACATTCCGGATGAGCAAACAGTTTGACAGTTAACTTGGGGTCTCTATGTATCTCATAGTCTAGAACCACTAACTTACACGTTAATCAGGATCCGGACTTCAAATAGTACAAGATTGCCTTACAGTCCTAAGCCAGGGTTAGAACAAAGGTCGGGGTTATGGCTACAATGGGAGGGGGTCAGCGCACTGTCTCCTAGGCCCTCTGTCATTTAGCATGGGCGTGTCATTCAGGTCTTACACTAGCACCTTCCTGGCTTGCTGGGTGAGATACAGATGCCTGTGTCGGGGACCAACGCACTGCTGCCCTTGCTGTGGTCCTCCCTGGCCTGGCTGTCCTTCATGGACTCTCTCTGTCTTGCCTTGGGTCTCTTTAAGTTCCTGAGCAGTGACCTAGGAGCAGCCCTTTCTGTGAGATTGTGCCTCTGAATTCAGCCTGCTTCCACACTGAGCCACCAGCTCTGAGGAGGGAGCACCAGCAGGGCGCAGGAGACCGGAAGTCTTGCTTCAGGAACTTGGCAGGGAACCCTGAGTGTCAGGGACGAGACTTAGAATTTAAACCCACAAAAGAACAAATGTTGGATATCAAGTGTAACCCTAAGGGGTTCCAGGCCAGGTCACATCGCTTGGCAGCTAAACCGCCACCTCACCTCCCATCCTGATGCTCAGAGGAACTGTGGCTCAAATAGGGGAACCCAGGGCCCTCTCTTGGAGCCAGAAAGGGATCTGGGCTCTGGGGTGCTTACCAAAGATTAGACCTCAGACCCACTTTCTGTCCACTGACCCGGACCCTGGGCCTGCTGGAGCTGTGAGGGGCTTCACGGACTTCAGGTTGGAGGAGGGGGTCCTGGCTAGTCTCAGAATAAAACTGGACTGGGCTGAGGGGCCTGGAGGGCAGGAGAGAGGTGATCTGGAGGGGCTCAATGCTTAGGGAAATGAGAGAGGGACTCACCAAGCTTGCTCTGGTCTGGTAGCCCTGGGTTCTGAGCAGGAAGAATGCATGGAGGGACAAGGAGAAAGAGCAAAACTCCCCTTACAGGCAGAGCTGGAGAGCAACACGGCCGGCAGGCCCGATGCCTGGGGACACCTGTCAGGACTTGGTGGCCTTGCTGATGGCAGGACTTGGACCCTGTTTCTGGTACCCTTCTGCTGGTCTCTGCTCTTGACTTGGCCTCAGCTGCCTCTCACCTCTCCTGTTCCATGCCCAGAGATGAGGACCACTGAGGCCACCTGGGCCACCTCTGCCTTTGACCCCAGTCTTGTAATTAGGTGAGGCTGGCACGCGAATGAGAAGCTACCACTCTGGGGACCAGGACTGGAGGAGGGTGAGCAGACAGGACAGCCCTCACAGGGTTTTAGGGAAAGCTCAGCTTGAGTCAGAGTAGGAAGCAGAAGGCACAGTCGCTTAGAATTCAGATGGATGTTTTAATGAAGGGACTATTTACAAAGGCATGCGTGTAGGGAAACTATGAGAGTGTTCAGTCTCTTGGGCCTCAGAACCTTGTGGCCCTGGTACCTAATGGGTCACAGAATGGAAAGCTTAGAACTAGGGGTGTATGAGCTCTCTAGTGCCCTCGGTTCATTTCCAGAAGATGAGTGGCTGTCTTGTCCCTGTGAAGGGAAAAGAAGCAGGGGTCCCCCAACTCCCATCCCTCTGACCTCCCACTGGGAGTCCCTACTGGCCACACTCACCTGGGAGTCAGGCAGAGGCAGCCATGGCGCTGACCTGGGGAAGCAGCCAGAGAGGTAAAGGCAGGGGAAAGAGGCAACAGAGATCAGGGGCATTTGTGTGAAAGCCAGAGGCCTGGCGTATAGCTGCCTGTGTCACGCCCTGGGTACATCTGTGATCTGCAATCCCACTCTGAGCCGAATGCCAGGTCCTAGGACCCCCAGGCTTTCTCTCTAAGGCAGTTCTAGGTTCTGGCGGGGTCTGTTTTCTTTGCACCTTTTCTGTCTCCTTCTTCTGCCAGAAAAGGTAACATCTGGGCCAGGACACCGCATGGCGATGAATCGATCAAGGACAGGTGTGTCTCTCCTGGGGACACTGGGCCTGGGAGCAGTCACTCACCCACCACCAGCTGAGGCCAGGGCGGCATGAGGGCGAGGCTCCTGAGCATCGTGACCCCTTGTGGCTCTGAAGGTTCCTGGCGGGGGTATGAGAGGGAGGAGCCCGGTGTGTGAAGGGAGGCAGGGTTGCCTTTGCCCAGGAGGAGGCCCCACATCCCTCTTCCTGTCGTTCATCCACTCAGTCACTTGTGTGCAAACATTGATTGCAGACCTACTCTGTGCACACCTGAAGGCATGAGGGACTCGCGGGTCTCTCTGCACAAGGGAGACGAGTGAACAATCGCAGGTGGTGTCGGAAGGAAATAGGACCCAGGATGGGGTGGAGGAAGTCAAGGCAAAGATGGGTCACAAAGCTGAGGGTGGGAGCTGCCCGGAGAAGACTACTCAGGAAGGAGGGGCTGGGGCTCGATTGTGAAAGACCAGTACGGGCTCAGCTGAAATGGTCGTGGGCAAAACTGCTCTGGGAAGAGGACATGCTTGCAGACAGGAGGATGAAGCTGCCCAATTTTCCAGTGTCCAGAGCTTGACGTGGGAGTCAGGGAGGTGGGACGTGAGCAGCTGCTGCTCATATGAGGACTCTGAGGCGTCTGGATGTTATCTGAGGGACCTGGGAGCCACTGGAGTTGACAGACTCGCAATGTCATGAGTAAGTGCTTTCCTTGAGAGAGAGTTCTCTGCTGGTGGGGTGAGATGTAGCCAGGCCAGGAGGGAGGCCAGAGAGGAAAGGCTGCCATACCTCAGCTGAGAGATCAGGATATCCCAGGAAGAGTGGCGGAGGTTACAATGGGCCCATTTAAGAGTTATTCTAAGACGTGCTCATTCCACATGGTTAGCCAGAGGAAGAAGGTAGAAATGATTCCTGGCTTAGAAGGGAGTGGGTGCGAACCTGGGCTGGGTAGGACTTTAAGGCAGAGCAGGTTTGGGGAAAGCAGAGATTGGCTTGGGCAAGTTTTCCGGTGTCTGACTGAGAACCTAGGGGCAGATGGCTCCCTTGCTCTGAAGCTGGATGTGTGTACATCAAGAAATCCCACAGGTGCTGCCTGTTCCTACAGGAAGAAGAGGAGCAAGGAAAAAGTTCCAGGCTGAGGAGAGGGAAGATGGCCTGGGGAGGAGAAGGACGAGGAGGAAGGCTGGACGGTGGAGGCCACTGACCTGGGCAGAGGACAGGGTCATGGCAAGGCAGGAAGAGAGCCCTGCAGCTGGAACGTTCGATAACTTCCGTTTTAGATTTGGCATCTACAAGGGTGACAAGCAGGAGCCTCAGAGTGGGCAGAGACAGACCCCCACCCCCACACTCAGGCCCAGGGCTGGGCCGTACTCACCACAGGACTCACTGCAAGCTGCAGACGAAGGGGAGACGGTGAAGAAACCGAGATGCCCGGGACACAGACAGAGCTGGGAGGGGTGGGGCATCTGAGCAGGATGTGGAGTTGGGGAGGGTGTGGCAGGCACCCAGGCCGTAGGCAAGGAAGGCTGGGGCTTCTGGGGAAGGTCAGCAAGGGCTGCAGGTTGGACTCTGCAGGGATAAAGAGCCGGAGTGGGTAGGGGCAACCTTGTCTCTTACCCTGCCCACTTAGCCACTCAGCTCTTTAGTTCAGCCTCTCGCAGAGAGATCCTTGTGCATGTGAATCTCTTTCAGAAGCGATGTTTTGTCTGGGTGGAGCAGGAGAGAAAGATGCTTATGGTCGAGATTTTTAAACAGTGTTTTCAAGCAGACATTCTGTACAGCACACAGAGACAGACTACATCCATCTCCTACCCTTTACTGGTCCATTCTTATCCCATGGCCAAAGCCACCCTCTGGGATTGTGTTGGAGGGTCAAGCTGTCAACCTAAGCCTGGGGGCCCAGTGACACGGTTTCATTACCATCCCTGAACGTCCCAATGGCTTGGTCTCCTTGGTTGAAGAATTGGGCTGCCTCCTCTTCTTCAATGTCCTGATCTGAGAAGAAATATGGGAACAGGGGAAGTTAGGGGACAAGGGCCTTAAGGCAGGTGAGGAGCCAGCCCTGATCTCTGGTCTTCTGGTTGTGCCTCACCAAGGTATGAGGGTCAGAGCAAGATCTCTTCTTGGAAGAGGGAGTGGAGGCTCTGGGAGAGTTCTGTGGGTGGCCCTGGGGTGCCCCAGAGAAGCTGCAGGTCATAGTCAAATAGGGCAGGCAATTCTAACCAGCAGTGGAGAGAGTTCCCCCACTAGCACCTGGCAGGAGGCAGATGAGCAGGAGAGTCAGCATCTTCTGGGGTCTTCCCTCTGTGCCATGCACGCCACCTGCAGTTCCACATGGAACGCTGGAGCCCTGCTCCCCTGGGAACCGCATTCTCTTGGCAGAACAAAGGTACATTCCACAGGGTTAAGGGAGCACAGGCTCTGATGTCAGACCATACTGGGATCCTGCATGTGGGGTTGCTGCCATTTCGTAGGGAGCCTCTCTTGAGAATCCAGGGGGTGACTGTGCTGTCTGGGGGTGATACTCAGGTATTTTAACTGTGTTTATCTTGTATGAAATAGCCCAGTAGGACTGAAAATCAAAAGGTTATGAAACAGCAGCACAGCAGGAGGGATAGGTATAATACAAATGGGCAGCCATGGAGGAAACTTGTGGCAAATGTATTTATTTTCACAGCATATGTAAAACAGCAGCTGTCTTGTGCCTCTTATGACAGTGTAGGCAGAATGAAGACAGAGTTCTAGCCAGCCGTGTATGGGAGGGCAGAGCACCAAGTCACTTTTACAGCAGTTGTTTTGTGCAATAAATGTACCCTGAAGAAAAGCAAAACTCCTTACTGTTCAGTAAAGAAAAAGCTTCTGGGATCATTGCATCCTTTGGGATCCAAGCTTAGTCTTCTATGTCGTGCTTTCAACTTTCTGAGCTCCTTGGGCTAGATTAGGAGCAGCTGAGAATGTTTGCAATTTAGGGAAGAGCAAAAAACAACAGTGAAAATTCAAATCAAAGGCAAACCTAAACTGCAGAAAAAACAGGGCACAGAGATGTAAGTGGGTGAGCAGGAAACTTAGAGCTCCACTACAATGAAACGAAATATTGCTTTCACTGGACAAGATGAGGCTGCTACGTAAAAAGAAAATAGAATAAGAAAGAATTATTTGGTAGTCAGAAAAATGACAGCAGAAATTTAAAAGCTTAAAAACATGCTTGGGAGATAAAAGTTTCAGAAATATTTCAGGCGTGAGCAGAAAAACACCAAATAAGAAAGAAAAGATAGTAAGATTAGATAATCTAGGAGGTCAAACATCAGCTAGTTGGAGTTCCAGAAAGAAAACGAAGGAGAGGAAATTATTATAGCATGAAGTATATCTGGGGTGGAATTCTATCGTGTAGGGAGGGGATATCGAGGGCTGACATAAAGGTTTGCTAAAGTAAATAGCAGGTGCACTCGTAAATTCAGCTGCATCAATCTGGTGGGTTCTGTGGTGAGAGGGATGCTCTGAGTACTGCTGAGGTGTTGCTCTCCCACTGGATTTGGACAGAGTCAGGATTAGGTAATATGTCTAATTTTTTTCTCTCCTCAGGTAATGCCTCTGGAAAGGAACACCTTGATTTCCTGGAGTTTGGCTTAGGAGAAGCAGGTGCTCCCTCCCTGGGTGCTCTGGGCAAGATTCGCAGCTACATGGCAGGCAAGCCACTGCTTACAGCGTCCACTCCTTTCCCTCTCAGTTTGCCGCAGCCAGCCTGTGCAGAGGAGAGAGCAGGAAACCAACAGACAGGAGAGAGAAAAGTGTAAAACTCAAAGATGTGAGTTTCCAGACTGAAAGAGACTACCAAGAAGGAATTTTCTTTCTAGGAATAAGAAAAATCTCACCAAAGCACGGAGAAGAAATAGACCATATGTGGCAACCAGCAGTCAAACTGAAGTTAACACATGATGGAGCAATGCTTTCCAGCTTGAGAAAAATATTTCCACTGTACAGTTCGATACTCAGCCAAACACGAGTCAAAGAGGAGAAAAGACTTGCTAGCTCAGCAGGTGAGGTTTAAAACTGACTTTAAAAAAAAAAAAAAAAAAAAACCTCTCAGGAAATGGTTGAAGAATGTGTTTCAGTGAAATCCAGCAAGGAAGATGATGGTGAAGTTAGGGATCTTGAGTCTGAGCCTGCAGAGAGATAGGAGACCCCTAGGGGAGCAGTCAAGGGAGACCCCAGGATGGCAGAGTCCAAATTAGCTGAGTGGGTGGAGAAAATCTGCAGTGGGCAATGAGGTTGGCTCCCTCTAGACCCTGGATTCCATTTCTGGCTTTCTTTGCTCTTGTTTGCTGTCTTCTACTTTCCCCGGCAGGTATGGTATAGCCTTTCCTCAGATTGACAGTAACAAGGGCCAAGATTCAGGTTTGAGTTATGCGGGTGGAATGATACGTGTAGGTCTTCTCTACTCCTGGTAAGACATGGAAGGGAGCGCTTGGTGCTGGGTCACTGTGAAACTTTTGTATAGATTCTATAGCATACAGTGATTAGATGTACTGGAGTCTTCCTTCCTTTGACTTAGGCTTTTCTGTTGGGAAACACTCAAGAGGAACAGGATTCAGGTATCGCCCTGTCCCTGGCCCAGTGCCCTCTGAGTTCCCTCCCACATTTGCATCATTTGTTGGCTGGAGTGATACAAGCTTTTGAAGTAATAGCCATGCTTAGATCTGGAGGAGTCTTTGAAATTCAACCAAATGCCTATTTCTGGTAGCTCTTCTGAGTCTTAAACCACTGTTTGTCTCGATTTCTCCTCTTATTTATCGTATAATTCAATTATGGGTTATGTACTTTTGGGGCAAGAATTTGGGGCTGAGTGATCAAAGCAGCCCTTTCCATTTCGAGATGTCTCAAGGAGTTAGAATCTTCCAAGCACCCAAGCCTGTCCAAAATCTGCACATAGGATAACTCGTCCAGTGTTTGAAGCCGGAGATGAAGCTTCCCCTTTAGAGGCCAAACATCTTTCCAATCCAAGGACTCCTTTAGACCCTTGTCGTCGTCAGTTTTCTGTTGCTTTAACAAAACATCTGAGACCAGGTAACTTATAAAAAGTAGAAGCTGATTTAGCTCACAGTTCTGGAGGTTGGAAAGTCCAAGGGCGTAGTAGCACCAACACGTGCTCCACTCCTGGTGTGGGTCTTTTTGCCGCGTGGTAACAGTGTGGATGGTGTTCTATCAATACACAGAGCAGGCAAGACAGAGAGAACTTACTTACCATGAGGGAACTCCCTCTGCTATCCAGCACTCCATTAAAGTATGAACAGGTTAATCTGTTTGTGAGGGCTGAGTGCACATGACCAAGTCAGCCAAGGGCCTCATCTCTAGATGCTGTTAACATAAGAATACGGGGCTTATGGTGCCAACACATGAAATTTTGTGGACACATTCAAACCACAGCAATTCCCAGTTAAAGTCTGCCCTTATGTCTCCTTCACACTGACTGCTGCCCTCTCAAATCATCCTCTCCCGAAGTGGGACAGAATTTATGACTAGGTCGGCCCTCCCATTGGTGTTTGATATCTCCCACTTCAAGCAAAGATCACCCGTGTGTTAATTTTCTCTTGCTGAATAACAAATCCCCACAAACTTAATATAACAGCACCTACTCATGCAGTGCTGTTTGCTGAAAGGATCTCACAAGGCTGAATTCATGAAGTCAGCAGGGCTGCATTCCTGTCTGGAGCTTGGGATTCTCTTTCAAGCTCTCGTGGTTGTTGTGTTAGTTGGCTTTCTGTTACCATGACAAAATACCTGAGACACTCAAATTAGACAGAGGAGAAGTTTATTTGGCTCACAGTTTTAGAGATTGCAGCCACCAGTGGATTGACCTTGTTGCTTTGGATTTGTGGTGAGGCAGAGGGCAAGGTGAGGACCACATGGGTGAGCAACCTGCCCACCTCGTGGTGACCAGGAAGTATGAGAAGGAGGAAGAGGCTTGAGCCCCCAAATCTGCTTCAAAGCCATGCCCTCGTGACCTAATCCTTCCACTAGTCTCCTCCTCCCAAAGGCTCCATCACCTCTTACAGCACTGCAGGGTGGGGACTAAGCCTTGACAATGGGCCTTTGTGGGGGCATTTATCCAACCATAGCTGTAGCTGACAGAGCTTCTGGCTTTAGGATTGGTACTGGGGGCTGCTCTCTGCAAGATGCTGCTGCCAGTTCCTGCTGTATGGCCTCTCCTTTCATCTTCTGGATGGAAAGGCCCAGACCCTGTAAAATAAGGCCATCTTCAAGACAATCTGTTTAATTGATTCAACATAGGCTGATTTGGGAGCTCACTTGTATTCATAAGAGGCCCTCACCTTTGCAGACTGCACAACCTAATCCCAGAAGTGAAATCATCATACTCCCCCGTGCTTACCCATGCCCAAGTAGAGAGAATTACAGAGGCTGCACACACGAGGGGACAAAGACTCCTGAAGGCTGTGTCAGAATTCTGTCTGTCATAATCCTGAACCTCACACATATCGACGCTCTGGGATGTGACAGCGTCAGTACCCTTTCCTCTGTCATCAGTCACTGATGCGGGTTAGGAAATCACCTCTCTACAGCCCCTCCGTATGAATCTAAGTTAGTTGGTGGCGCAGCTGACATGTAACCTTGACAGTAATGACACATAGTCAGTGCATGTCACAGGCTCAGGTCAAAGCTCTCCACAAGGATCTCCTACTTTAAACACCAACCGTAAGTTCTGGGGTCTGCAGGCTGCCTTCTCTTCTCAAAACCTTGCTACAACACAGGGTTTCCATTCTGTTTCCAGATTTGACAACTCACTAGAACAATTCACGGAACCCAGGAAAGAACTCTGATTATGATTACAGTTTTATCAGGATGGAGACAAGTCAGGAGCAGTCCCATGAACAGACATGGAGGAGGAGGGGACAAGTCCTGGGAAGGTCCTGCATGCAAAGCCCTATGTCTCAGATGATTACTATCCTGCTACACTGATGGGTGTAACCGAGCAGGATGCTCAAATGAGCCTCAGATCCAGGGTGTTTAATGGGATTCATTATTGTAGATGTCCTTGATTGAATCACTGGCCATTGGCTGAGCTCAGTCTCCTGGCCGCCCTGCTTTCCCTGGAGGTTGGGCTGAGATTACCCGGCTGCGAGGTTCAACTCTCTAATCGCGTGGTTCATCCTTCTGGTGTGGCTCGCCCCCATGCTGAGTTATCCTGTTAGTGCGAGCATCTTGGTTACGTTCTTGTCGTTGGGACAAAACACCTGACACCCACAAGTTAAAGGAGGAAAGGTTTATTCTGGCTCACAGTTGGTGCAGTCCACAGTCAGTTGGCTGCAAGGCAGGATGAAGTGGCAGA